GAAAAAGAAAAAAACAAAAAAAAAACACCAGCTGCCAGTCTTTTGTTTGTACAATAAGAAGGCCTGCACAAGAACCCTCTTCTGGATTGGTTTCACTGATGCTTTGTCCCTGAAGTCAGGAAGTACCTTGCTAGTAAGGGATTGCTTTTTAAAATTATTTTGAAATTAGACAATGAACTTGGCCACCCAGAACAGCATGAGTTTAATACCGAAGGCAGTGAAGTGGTCTACTTGCTCCCAAACATTTGTCTCTCTAATTCAGCCTCTGGATCAGGGGGTCATAAGGACCTTTAAGCAGGGGTCCTCAAACTACGGCCCGCGGGCCACATGCAAATACAAATATTGTATTTGTTCCCGTTTTGTTTTTTTACTTCAAAATAAGATATGTGCAGTGTGCATAGGAATTTGTTCATAGTTTTTTTTTTAAACTATAGTCCGATCCTCCCAACGGTCTGAGGGACAGTGAACTGGCCCCCTGTTTAAAAAATTTGAGGACCCCTGCCTTTAAGGCTCATTATACACAGTACTCTATGAAAAGGATCATCAATGCTATGGAAGAGGACCACAAAAGAAAGACTATCCTGAAAGTCTGGAAGGATTGAAGATGCCATCACTGATCAGGAAAAGCTGTGAAATCCACCAAGCCTGAAACAATTCCTACTGGAGAAAATTGTGTCCAGATATTATGCATGATTTTACAGGTTTTACAACAAAGTCAATCAAGGAAACCAAGGAAGAGATTGTGGATATGACAAAAAAAAAAAAAAAAAAAATTAAAAAATGCTGATGCAGATGAGTGCTTCTGAATCAGTACCAGACAATAAGGAAGACAATGAAGAAGCAGTACCAGAAAACAAATTGACATTAGACAATCTAGCAAATGGTTTCAATTGTTCAAGAGTGCTTTAGACTTACTTTTTGACACAGACCTTTCTATGATATGGACACTGAAAATAAAGCAAATAGTAGAGAAAAATTGGTATCATATAGAAACATTTTCAGATAAATGAAAAAGCAAAAAAGTCCAAAAAATTACCATGTGTTTCCACAAAGTTATATCATGTGCCTGCCTCTACTGCCTCTCTTTCCACTTCCTCCATCTCTTCTGTTTCTGTCACCTGAGGCAGCAAGACCAACCCCTCCTCTTCCTTCTCCTCAGCCTACTCAAAATGAAGGAGGATGAAAACCTTTATGATGATCTATTCCCACTTAATGAATAATAGGCAATCATCATGCAGTACAATTAAACTTATCTGTTGTGTGTCTGTTCATGTGATAATCTAATAACTATGACAACATTTTTAGACATTGTGTGTAGTCGTCGTCATTGTCATCCCCTAGGTATTCATCATGTAGAACATCATGTGCATGATTTGATGAAAGTGGAGAGCTTATCTTCTCCCTCATCATCATCATCCTCTGAGTATTCATCAAGTGCATGATTTGCATGGAAGTGGATAGCCTATTCTTACAAAGGCATATAGTAAGTGATAATCTACAATAATAAAAGAGAAACATGCAAATTGACCGTCCCCCGCTATGCCCACCAGCCAATCAGAGCAATATGCAAACTAACCCAACAAAGATGGCAGTTAATTTGCATACACAGGTGAGGAGTGAAGACTGAAGACAGGGTAGAAGGAAGCCAAGTGCTGCAGAAGGGAGCGAAGCAGTGGAGAAGGGAACGGAGCTGAGGTAGCGGAGATGGGAGAGAGCTAAGTGGCAGAGAAGGGAGGGAGCAAGGCAGTGGACATGGGAGGGAGCGAGGCAGCGGAGACGGAGGGAGTGAGGCAGTGGCGAAGTGGTGGACATGGGAGGGAGGGAGGCAGGGGAGATGGGAGGGAGTGTAGCGGCAGAGATGGAAGGGAGCGAGGCAGCGGAGAAGGGAGGAAGCAAGGCAGTGGAGAAGGGAGCGAAGCCCCCTTGGCGGGCTTCGCTCTCTTCTCTGCTTCGCTCTGGCCTCAGGAAGCCCTATTCTTGCAGGAATCTTCCTGCAACAGGCCTCTAGTCTATATATTTAAAACCCTAATATACAAATAGACCAAATGGCGGAACAACCGAACAACCAGTCACTATGACGTGTGCTGACCACCAGGGGGCACGTGCGAAACATGGCGGCGTTGGCTGCAATAGGATGGTGGAGCAGGTGAGTGGGGGCACCAGAATAAGGTGAGGCACCGGTCACTGTCATTGGGGTGAGCCTCTGGTGGTTACTAAAATTTCTTTCCTCCTGCGCGCCGCAGTCCCGCACAGCGCTCGCACCTGCTGCCGGCGCTGAAGCCGCTGTTTATACCCACTGCCAGCGCTGGCCCCGCTCGCACCCGCTGACAGCTCTGGCCCCAATTGCTCGGTGCCATCAGCGGGTGTGAGCAGAAGCTGCTGGCCCCGATTGCCCCTGAGGGCTTCTCCACCTCCCCCTGCTCCTGAGGGGTGATCGGGGCAATAGCTGCCACTCATACCCACTGCTGGTGCCAGCTCCAATGGCTCTGCGCTGTCAGTGGGTGCGAGTGGGGCCGGTGCTGTCAGTGAGTGGGAGCAGTGACAGCAGGACTGCCGGCAGACAGGGGACCAGGAGCTGCAGTGGGGGGGCTCAGTGGGGGTGCAAAGGATGAGCTGAGACCTGGCCCTGTGTCCACTGCAGCATCGTGGCCCACAGTTCCTTTCAAGGTGCATGAATTCATGCACTGTGCCCCTAGTTTAATATAAAATAATGTTAGTTTTCTTACTGTTTTATAGCACTGCTTTCAAAGAATTACTTTACAGTATGCCTCTCTCTCTTGTAACTGGAGAAACCGCATATCAGCCTATTATTACAGACTAGAGGCATGGTGCATGACATTCGTGCACTTAGGGGGGGGGGGTTCCCCTCAGCCCGGTCTGTGCCCTTTAGCAGTCCGGGAGGCCTCGGGGAATATCTGACTGACAGCTTAGGCTTGCTCCACAGCTTGTGGCTAAGTGGCGCTCCTTGGGTGGGAGCGCACTGACTACCAGGGGGCAGCTCCTACGTTGAGTGTCTGCCCCCTAGTGGTCAGTGCGCATCATAACAACCGGTTGTTCTGCCATTCGGTTGATTTGCATATTATCCTTCTATTATATAGGATACGTGGTTTCTTCTTTTTAAAAAGTAACAAATTTAATAATACTGTATTATGAATATGATTGTAATACTGTATGTCATAAATATTTTATAACAATTCATTCATTGATGTATAGGCTAGGCTACCATGAAGTAATCATATCTAATACACTAGGCTACAATAAAGCAACCATACTGCTGCTTCTTTGTTATATCTGTAAATAAATATAAATTTCTTTCTCAAATTATCTTTTTATTTTTGATGTCTAGTGTTAATAATACATATAACATCTACAGCAGTGGTTCTCAACCTTCCTAATGCCGTGACCCTTTAATACAGTTCCTCATGTTGTGGTGACCCCCAATTTCATTGTTACAAATTGAACATAATTAAAGCATAGTGATTAATCACAAAAACAATATGTAATTATATATATGTTTTCTGGTGGTCTTAGGCGACCCACAGGTTGAGAACCACTGGTCTACAGTATTTTGTATCATATACTAGACAATATTGATGTAGATACAGATGATTTATGTTGTAAACAGATGATGTAAACTTATAGTATTGATAAATACAGTACAGTGCTGTAAATGAATTTTCTCTTATGATTTTCTTAATAACATTTTCTCTAGCTTACTAAGTTGTAAGAATACAGAATATAACAAATATAACATATAAAATATATGCTAACCAACTGTTTATGTTATGTAGGACTTTTGTTCAACAGCAGGCTATTAGTAGTTAAGTGTTCGGGGAGTCAAAATTTATACACGAATATTTAACTGCATAGAGAGCTGGTATCCCTAAGCCCTATGTTGTTCAAGGGTCAACTTTAATTTGTAGTTGTAAAAGTGGTAAAAAGTGGTCAGGTCATAAATATATCCTGAAATAGACTCAATAGGATTTGCTATTAGACTGAATGTAGAGCAAAGGAAAAAGGAATAGAAGATGGTGCCAACCATTATTGTCTTCAGCATCTCAATAAATGGTATACTGAAGATGAGAATAAAATTAGAAACTCTGTTTTTGACATGCTAATTTTCCAATACTTATTCCACTGGAGATGAGTAGGAAGCTAGATATACAAATTTAGTGTACAGGCTAAAGATATAAATAATTGTTATTTAAAGGCACAGGATTGAATGAAATCACCTGAAATGTGAGTATAAAAAGAGAGACGTTTAAGGACTGAGCCCTTATTAACATTAGTAGTAGAAAGAGGAGGAATATACTGCAAAGGACACTGAGGTTGGGGGAATATACAAAAAGGGGTGTTCAAGAGTCAAAACAGTAAAGAATTTAAAGGAGGCAGTAGTCAATTGTGTAAAAACTAGGATTAAGTAAAATGAAGATTAAGAACTGATTATTGGATTTGACAATCTACACTTCAAAAGAGGTTTCTTTTGGTGGGTTATTTTAATGAGAGGTATTATAGCAGTATGTATGATGAGAATGATCCAGTATATGGGGAAACACAGATAATGCAGAAGAGAGAATTTCAGAAGTCCATGAATAGTCGAAGGGCCCTAAGCTCTAATACAGAAGCAAAGGGGTGAGCTTTGGGAACACAGATGTATAGTTTATTTTAACAGGCCCAAATACAGAGTAAGACTATCAATTGAGAATGAGGGCCAGAAAACAGGTATTTGATGTGCTGCTTTGTCAGTGTGCAAGAGGCAGAGCAGACCTGCAATCAGTCAGGTTGGATCTTATCAATGAAGTGACAGAAGGGCAAGAGAGAGCTGAGATTACAAAAGACAGTGTTTATAGCAGCCGTGGGCACACTATGACCCGCAGGCTGGATCCGGCCCATTTGAAATGAATAAAACTAAAAAAAAAAAAAAAAAAGACAGTACCCTTTTATGTAATGATGTTTACTTTGAATTTATATTAGTTCACACAAACACTCCATCCATGCTTTTGTTCCGGCCCTCCAGTCCAGTTTAAGAACCCATTGTGGCCCTCAAGTCACACATTCAGCTAGAAACACCAGCTTGAAGAGGTACTGGTATATTCCATTTGTAATAATTTGCTTACAGCAAACAACTGTCTTATAATGGAACATGTTGAAGAAAATATTGTCTCATAAGTCTTTTTGTTCTTTTGAGTCTCAATCACTACAAGTTCAAGGTACTTTGACAGAATCCTAGTGTCCTGAATGGCCTGATGAATGCATTAAATCAAACAGTGTGTTTGTATTCGGGAAATACTCTTAGATTCATACAAATGTTGCTTGGGTTGTGGATTTCATATTTCTCCCACTGGCATTATGACATTTGAAGAACATCTGTTATGAAAGTTTCACACCAATTTTGTTTTGCTCCTTTTTCATTAGCCGCTGTGCCTCCTTTTCCATTTTCTTTCTTTGCTGTTCCGCTGCTCTCTTTTCTCTGTCTATCTTCTGTTGCCTCAGAACTTCTTCTGCTTGCCAGGCTGCATCTTCCTCTTCTTCCCATGCATTGGTATTTTCCTGCCAGGTATCCAAGTCACCTAATTCAGGTGATTGATGAATAAATGGCATATCTTGTGTAGCTGCTAATCTACTAGAGAAACCTGTGCTACCATCTGGGACGCCAAAATTTAATGGTTCTCTCTTCTTAATAATGATTTTCTGAGTTTTCCTTATAGTAGGTGTCATGTCCTTAAAATAGTCAGGTTCCAGTTGTTCCAAAGCATTTTGTTGTGTTGCCACATTCCCATTCCCTCCTTCAATCTTTATACTTGTGGGAGCATCTTCATCCCAGGAAGTCCACTCTTCAATATCTGTCTGTTTTGGAACTGATGAATAATCAACTGTAGTTGGCAAAGTTATTTGGTCTCCACTTAATTTCCATCCTCTGCCAGATCTGCATATTAATCTCTTTAGGAAGGAGAATAATGTCGCTAAGCAGGTACAAACTTTAAATAACCGAAACTGTGTGATAGCCATGATGGGAACCAAAACTTGCCCACCCCTGGTTTATAGTCATGGACCAAGGAATCTGAGCAAGGCAAGAAGGCAAGTGGAAGCACAAAAGAAATGATAAACAATAAAAAGCTGAGCTGGAGGTCTTCATAGGGTATATATAAAAAAATCTTGGTAGTAGGGGAAGTGAGCTGAAAAGAAAGAGCTAGTCAGATAGTTTGAAAGCTTGCAACTGAGATTTTGTAAGTGATATATATAGTCCAGCGATTTTCAAACAGTGTGCTGTAAGAATTTTTAAAACATGCAATACCTGACTATTTAGTCAGGGGAACTGACCTCTTTTCCCTTAGATTGTCAATTTTAAAAAATGACAACAGCCAACACAACAATAGCTGTCCAGTGTGAATATATCAAAATTTTACCTTTTTTGTTAGATTGGCAAAAACAGTATTTTATGGTGTGCCGCAGAAGTTAGTAATTAGTTTATGTGTGCATAAGATGAAAAAGGTTAGAAAATAGCTGATATAGTCAAAGCTAATGGATTCTTGAATATAACCATTTAAGTAGGTCATTCTAGTGCAGTGGTTGGCAAACTGCGGCTCGCGAGCCACACGCGGCTCTTTGGCCCCTTGAGTGTGGCTCTTCCACAAAATACCGACTTCTGTGCATGGACCATGAAGTTTCAATAGCACTATACGTGCGTGCCCGCACGTGGTATTTTGTGGAAGAGCCACACTCAAGGGGTCAAAGAGTCGCATGTGGCTCGCGAGCCGCAGTTTGCCGGCCACTGTTCTAATGAAAGAAAAAAAACAAGATCCTGGAAGTTAAAGATATCAAAGAATTAGGAGTGACTGGGAGAAATGGAGATGACTAGAAAAGAAGGGGAAGTAGAAAATACCATCTCATTACATCTGCATTTATTTTTAGAGGAAATACAATGATCCATAAATATCAATACGATAAGCAAGGAAGACAACCCATTGTTGGTCCCAAAGTGCATGGGGTGTAACAGACAATAGTTTCACTTTTTGTGAAGGTTGTAGTCTCAGACGAATGCCAGGTGTGGTGATTAAGGTTAAAAGGAATGTGCAGTATAAAATTAGTCCTGCCCCAGCCCGTTTGGCTCAGTCGATTGAGTGTCAGCCTGCGGACTGAAGGGTGCCAGGTTCAATTCTGGCCAAGGGCACATGCCCAGGTTGCGGGCTTGATCAATGATTCTCTCTCATCATTGATGTTTCTATCTCTCTCTCCTTCTCTATTCCTCTCTGAAACCAATAAAAGTATATTTAAAAAATAATAAAATTAGTCCTGATGGTGTGCTTGGGGAACTTGGTAAAAGGTAGATAGTCAGTTAAATTTAGTTTCTACTTGTGACTGCTTTAGTAATTTGCAGAAGGGAGTGTTAGGAGGGGAGGCAAGTCAGGGAATTGGTGGTCTCAAGGAGAATTTGAGGTGCTCTTTGGGGCCCTCCCTTATATCCTGCAATTGAAAGTGCTGGGCGTAGCTCTTAAAAAAGTGTACAGCTTGCTCTTAATTAACTTGTTCAGTCAACACTATTTACTGAATGCTTGAACTAACTACACTAACCTAGGTGATGCACTTCCTAATTATCTATATTTGAATTTGTCCACACACTATCCAAGTTAAGCAATCTATAATAATAGAAGCATAATATGCTAATCAGTCCAGATGTCCTTCCTTCCGGAGAAAGCCATGTGGGTGGGGCCAAGGCCCTTGCACGAATTTTGGGCATCAGGCCTCTAGTATAAAAATAAAATAATAATAATGTAATAAAATAATAATAGCAGTTGCCAGGCACTGTTCTAAGTAGGTTAGATATATTAAATAAGATAATACAATTAACTCAATGAGGTTGATACTATTATAGTCTTTAGACAATATATCCAATGCACAATTCTAAAATTTAAATCTTTTATAATCCAGAATGCATTTGTTTAGAAGAGTATTCTTTTTATACAAATCAGCCTTTATATTTTCCACATGGGTATCTGGACAGTGTTTTTCTGTATTTTAATTTAGAACAGGGTTTTTTCCTCTAAAAAGATTATTTAACTTATGTGGCTAATATCCACTCATATTAAAATTTTAGAGAACACACTGACAGTTGTCAGAGGGGAAGATGGTTGTGGGACTGGGTGAAAAAAGATGAGGGGATTAAGCAAACCCCCTCAAGAAACAAAAAAATCAATCCCCTAAAACAAATAAAAAACCACCACCACCACCACCCCTCAGAGACACAGACAACAGTATGGCGATTACCAGAGAGAAAAAGGGGTGTAGGGGGAGGCAGAAGAGGGTATGGGGGGATAAATGGTGATGGAAGGAGACTTGACTTGGAGCTGTGACCACACAATACAATATACAAATGATGTATTATAAAATTGTTCAGCTGAAACCTATATAATTTTATTAACCAATGTTACCCCAATTCAATATAGAGAAAAAAATTTATTGTTCTATTTCAATTATAAGTCATCATGTCTATTCCATTCACTCTTAAGGAAGAGAACTTTGCCATCTGAAGCTTAATCTGATATGTCGACTCTGGGGCGATGGGAGAACCCAATTTGAATATTTATAGTGATCCATATTAGGGATCTTCAAGTAGTCTAAAATAAAGGGACAGTTGCTAAACACACATTCAAAGTGACCTACACTACTTCACAGCTGTTCAAAGTTTGTAACTACTATTTTCATTAATAAAAATAATATTGCCAAGTGGTTAAAACTTTTTATCTAGGAGCTAATCAGGTAGGAAAGTCTAGAAGTATTGTGCTGGATTTTTTAAAAACCTTGCTGAATATAAAATTTGGTCTAGATTGGAACAGAGCTTGGATATGCTAAGGGCAGATTGCCATCAACTGATCCTAAATGTAAGAATAGAAGAAATTCTGTGGTGTGAAACTCAGGAGGGCTTAACAATGCATAGGCCACTTTTCCTATATTATAATTATTCCAAATTAAGAACATAAGTAGTGTGAAGCCCCCAAAAGTAAAACTTATACCACAGTAAAACAAGTCACAAGAAATTCATCTTAATTTAACATAAAAAACACACACCCCAAAACAGACAAATAAAAACCCATAATTTAAATCTTTGGGATAGAAGTAAATGACAAAAATTACAGATAGTTTATAAGCTGTATGGTTACATCATTACGTGGGGACTCAAAACGGTGAAGAGAGAAGGTGCATGGAGGAGTTTTGTGGCTTGAAGAAAATATGAAGAATGCAGGGGAAGAAAAGGGAAATGGAAGAAGAGATGGGCTGCAGTGAAAAACTAAAGGCACTTATGAGGGAAGAGAGTAGATATAAATGTAATTACCCAAGTGGTTTCAGATTAGATGCCATATTTTGAAAGGCCATGAGCTAATAAGGTTCAAGGTGACTGACATGGAAATCAATCAATTCCATAAACACTTATTGAGCACTAATCATATAACAAGCTCTATCCTAAAAGATGGGGATCTTGTCAAAGTTTATAACCACTTGGCTCCCTTATCATTTAAAAAAACATTAATGATTTCCCACTAATTTCCAGATATTACAGAAGGACTGGGCAAATAATCTTAGTTATGAAAATGAATACCTCCAACAGACAAACAATTTAAATGAATCTGTAAAGAAAGCAAATTCTTTTTTTCATCAGAGTAATGACTTTCAAATTAATAAGACTTGATTTAATAACAATTCTCTAAACTGCTAGAAATAGCATATAGCATAGTTATAAGAAATTAGATTCAAAGTTAATCTTGCTATCAAATCTTAAAAAAAATATTTCTGACAACAGTGTAATAGAAGACCTGATCATCATCATCACTGTTGTTATTTATCAATCATATAACAAAACACTATCAATATCTTACTACCATATTCACAGGTATATATAGTATATGCTCACTTAAGAAATTTCATTAATCGACTTTGTTTTTAACTCTATAGAAATCCTTTTAGTGCTAAAAAATAAAATTGCCAGCCATGAGTCAGTAGATGAAACAGAAAAATGTATTCTGGCATCAGACAATGGAAAATATCATTTACTATTAATCTACAATGAATAACAATGTCAAGCTTTAGTCTTTGTGACACTTTCTGGTATATGTAATTATAGTCAAAATTAAGGTTAGTTAAATTCTTGGTGCAATATTCAATCTAAGAGTTAAATCAATTGTTGCCTCTGAATAACTTTCATTATAAGTGATCTCAGTACCTACATAAAAACAATTAATGACTTTAATGACTCTCCCTAGTCCAGTAACTCTATTTCTCTCAACCATGTAAGAAAATAAGTAGAATTTATTAAGAAATCTGACATTTTAAAATCAAAACTATTGAAAGATAATTCTAGTTCCAAAATTAAGAAAGAAGCTGTTGATTGCTTCTAATTATTTAAAAAAATAGTTTTAAAGAATTTTTAAATGCCCTAAGGTATGGTCATATATTTTGTTAATTTAAATATTACTGATGTCAAAAAACAGAAACATTCTTACCTTGTTTTAAATTAGATTATCCTTTCATTTTTATGAAAGTTGAATGAATATCTATCAAAAATGTTTTAAAATAAGAATACTGCCCCAATTTTCCTTTAATACCAAGTAATAGGTATTTCACTCAACTATTGATTTTATATTTTTCCTATTTTCAATACTCATTTCCTTAAAAAGAAGTGATTTTAAAAAAAAAATTGGCAGATTTTTTGTGTTTGCTCACCTCTCTAAACTGTCAATTAAGTATTTGAAAAAATATTCCTATAATTGTGTAATTTCACAAGTTAATCCCAGATAATATATATTTATAGAGATTGAAAGATTCATTAAATTTCCCGAAAAAACAGTAATTTAATATAACTTTAAGATATAAGGATACACCATTCAATTTATTTTCAAAAAATGAGAAAATAAAAATATTTTAACTTATCTTCTTTTACCTTACAACAATATTCCAAAGGTTATTTAATGGCTTATAAAAGCTAAACAGGTATTTTCTTTGGTCAGACATACTTTATAGCATTTAACAGTCTTAAGATGAGACAAGCATTGTTAATTTACTTTTTAATTTATATATCAATGGCTTTATATTTTTAGAGAAGTTATTAAACAGAACCCAAGACTGTTTTGTTTGGCATTACATAAGATCAAAAGGGAAAATAT